TGTTTCCTGTGTGTCCCTGCCTGCCTTGTTTTACCCCGTCTTGGATGATTAAAGACTGTTATTTTGAGTTTATCCCATGCGTTCTTGTTCTTCGTTTCGCCACAGAAGGCAACCGTGACAGAATACCGGACCAACACAGTAATAAGCGGTGCTTCTTCTCCCCGTTTTGTTTTCCGGTTTTTGAAAATGTTTTCTTTTGTTTTCCTGTTTTTCCCCTGCGGCATGGAAACTGCCGCACGATTAGCCGCACCGTTGTCAAGTCCGCCGGCCGTTCAGCACTCAAGTTCGCCGGCCTTTCCGCTGTCAAGCCCGCCGGTCATCTCCCTCTCCTCAGCCCAAAAGAGGAGATTGCGGAGGAAGGGACTGTGGGCTCCAGCCCCAGAGCTCGCTCCAGTGTGGGCTCCTGTTCCCGAGTTTAGCCCAGTGAGGGCTCGTGTTCCCGAGTTTAGCCCAGGGATGGCTCCTGATTCCCCGTTAAGCCCAGGGAGGGCTCCTGATCCCCAGTTAAGCCCAGGGAGGGCTCCTGATCCCCCGTTATGCCCAGGGAGGGCTCCTGATCCCCTGTTATGCCCAGGGAGGGCTCCAGTCCCCGGTTTTGGCCCCGAGAGGGCCTTAGAGCCCGTTATCCTCTCCAAGTATTATTTTTGGGGGGGTAGTAGGGCTCCAGCTGTAGAGGCCGGGGTGAGGGCTGGGGTTGCAGCCTCGGAGGCTGCTCCTCCATGGCCTTCCGAGCTCCCTGCTCCGCCATGGCCTCCCGAGCTCCCTGGTCTGCCATGGCCTCCTGAACTGCCTGATCTGCCATGGAGGCCTTCCTAGTCCCCGTCTTACACCAGCCTCCAGGGCGCCCACCCCCCCTCCCCGGTGGAATATTTATGGCGCGGAACGCGCCTTTCGGGAGGGGCGAGTGATGTCACGTTTATGGTCCGGTATTGAATGTCGATGTTGTGTTTTCTGTGTGTCCCTGCCTGCCTTGTTTTACCCCGTCTTGGATGATTAAAGACATTTACTTTGAGTTTATCCCACGTTTCCTTGTTCTTCGTTTCGCCACAGAAGGCAACCGTGACAGTTAGAGGGTCAAGATTTTTTTGTTTTGTTATTGTAATAAATAAAAATAAAACAAGTAGATAGAATAGAAATAGAATATATAGTTCTAGTGTTAGATGATCAAGTGTAGATGGAAGAGATGTGTTTTAGGCATTCCTTGAAGATGGCTAAGGACTCTTCTAAGCTGCGTGGATTGAGTTGGGCAGGTCATTCCGCCAGCAGGGAACAGTGATGGTAAAAGCCAGTGAAAGTGATTTTGTGTCTCTTGGGGACGGCACTATAATGCGCTGTTCACTAGTAGAAACGCAAGCTTCTTGGAGGCACATAAGTCTGAAGTAGTGAATTTAGGTAAAGGGGTGCAGAGCCAGTGGTTGTTTTGTAGGCAAACATCAGTGCCTTGAATTTTATGTGAGCAGCTATTGGTAGCCACTGCAAATTGATGAACAGCGGTGTGACGTGTTCTTTTCGGCTCTTTAAAGACTAATCTTGCAGCCACATTCTGAATTAGTTGCAGAGGTTTGATAGAAATGGCTGGAAGGCCTGCTAAGAGAGCGTTGCAATAGTCCAGCCTGGACAGAACAAGAGCTTGAACAAGGAGTTGTGTTGCATGTTCCGAAAGAAAGGGCCTGATCTTCCTAATGTTGTGTAAGGCAAATCTGCAGGACTTGGCATTTTAGCAATATGATTACATGGACATGGAAAGCCTTTTTATAGAAGGTTTTTTCTATAATTTTTTAATTGGTGTGCAATGCTAAATGGTGTGAACATAGGTGTCTGGGTTATTTTGTATGCAATGTTAACAGGTTTCTGAAGTAAATCCCATTTTAAAGGGGTCATATGACGTTGCTAAAAAGAACAATATTTTGTGTATTTGGTGTAATACAATGTGTTCACACGGTTTAAGGTTAAAAAAAACATATTATTTTCCACATACTGTACTTTATTGTTGCTCCTCTATGCCCCGCCTTTCTGAAACACATTGATTTTTACAAAGCTCATCGCTCTGAAAAGCGCAGTGTGCTCTGATTGGCCAATGATCTAGTGTGTTTTGATTGGCCGAATACCTCAAGCATGTGACGCCAATGTTACACCCCTTACCAGGTTCAGGAAACTTTCCTCCGTAAAATGCGCTGCACACACTCGAATATTTGGGTTGAACTGTTCTGGAACAGTGTTGTAAATAAAACTTAACCACTGATTTCTAGTTGTGTCCTCTTTTGGAAGACCAAACAAAGTATTTTGGCTTAAGCAATGAAACACGCAGTGTCTCCACGACATGGCGGCGGCTCAACAATACTACAGCGAGAATAAAAGTTATGCCTTCTTTATTTGCGTATACATTTGGGCGGTGTTATGCAAATCTTCCCACACAGTGACGTAGATTTGTGGGGGCGTGTTTAAATGAGGCATTTTAGGAAGGTGTGGCTGAGCGTTCACTTTTAGAAAGAATATCTCTTTGGGCTTGAGACTTTAATCTTTGCGACTTTACAGATCTTCTGTATGCATGAACAGTTTTTAACACTCCAAAGACAAAGGAAAACATGAAATTGCATCATATGACCCCTTCAAACAATTTCTGCCTAGTTATCAGACTTTAAATTCAAACACTCTGCTCGTTGCAGATTATAAGTGTCTATAGTTTCTTCTGACATGGTCATTACAAATTAATGCTTAGTGATGTCATTATCATTTAGATGATGTTTTATTTATAAGCAACAATATCAAGGTGAATTAAATCAAAAACATATTTCAGTGTGATTCAACAAAACCTGGTTCTCTGAAACTCAATTCAATCATTTGTTTCCACAGGGATTTTATGGATTGAGGTTATAGCGAATGGACAAGAAGGTAAGAATCCTTCAGTTTATTGACACGTTTGTTCTGTTTTGTCTGTTTGAACTGGCATATATAAAAGTACTTGGAAATTTAGCCCTGCAGTAAAGCTCTGTTGTGGTTTGATCTCATTAAGCATGTTGTGCATCTATTTATGTATATGCACATCCTTAGTTTTCTGTCTGGACAAATGCTTTTTTGCAAATGCTATTTTTTATTTTTTTTGTACTTTGTAATGTTTGATCAAAATGTCATATCTTGTTCTTCTGGTGAAACAACAGACTTCTCTCTGGTGATGTACTGTATATATGATTCTCCAATCATTTAGTGCACTTAAACTCCAATTAAACCCCTGCAAGCTCGCATTCAGATCCACCTCCACATTTGAGAGCCATGCCCACATGTGAACATCCAGTCGACGCCTGATGCATCGTACCAAGTCCCTACATTCATTGCTCTTAATAATCTGTTTCACTCAAATGTACATCACAATAGAAAAGAGGCGTTACTTCCATTTCATCACAACTTTAAAATCATGTCCAGTCCGTATATCAGATTAAAATGCTTTCTCTATAATATAACATACCAAACCAATCACGATAAGCCTAGATAAGCCTAGATTATAATTATATGAAATAACAAATGTTGGATATCTGACCAAATAAACGGTGCTCACTGTAGGATCATTCTTTTGACATTTGCCAACGGTGCTCACTGTAGGATCATTGTAAATAGCTGTGGCATTTGTTTGCCACCCTTCAGTTCTGCCCCTGTTGGTAGGCATGCTGCTGAAGATAAGTAATAAAGATGAATTTGAAAAAAGTATTAAAAAAAAAAGTGAGAATAAAAAGATGCTGATTCTTACTGGCCTTTATCCCTGAAACATTTTCCAGAGAATGCAGCACTATGGGGCAAAACTAGTCAGTCATCAAATTACTTACAATCTGGACCTGAATTGGCTCTTGACGGACTGTTAACCAGCTGGACCCACACTAACACTGAGACCAACCCGTGGTGGAGAGTGGATCTACTGAAGGTATACAGAGTGAACAGGGTCACCATCACTAATAGACCGGGCAATGGCTTGAGGATTAACGGGGCGGTGATTCGTATAGGAAACTTCCTTGACATTTACAAAAACAGAATGTGAGGATATTTCTTTGACTGTCTTGGTTAATATGACTGCAGATGAACAGAAAATTATAACAGATGATATTTCTGTCTGTAGATGTGCTGTAATTTCCACTCTTGCAGATGGTGCCACGGCCACTTTCTCATGCGGTGGGATGGAGGGACGTTATATGATTGTTCATATTCCTGGAGATCAGAAGATTCTTAGTCTTAGTGAAGCTGGAGTCTACGGGTATTTGGCAGGTAATTCAAAAAAATGTCTAGTAAAGACATAGTTAATTCTAAACAGTCATGCTTTATTCATGCTCATATCCTTCCAAATTAGCAAGTCATCATACATTAAAATACATCAGTACTAATCCCTTTCGTTGTACTGATTATGCTGTACCATGTATATGTGATGTTTAAAAACCTTGACTTTTGTGACGTCAAGTGATGCGTTTATCAAGTCAAACATAAAGAGATGAACTCATCTACTTACTAGTCTCTTTCACAGTTTATAATCAAGCTCTTGCAACTATTCTAACTCAGACTTTCAGGGAACATGTTTAAAGGGTTAGTGCACCCCAAAATAAAGATGCTGTCATTTCATTTTTAGGTGAATAAAACCCTTAAAATAAAGATTGAAAGAGTTGTTGAAGCTTAATGATGGTTGACGTTGAAGTCATGTGACCATGGTGTAATTTTTCTTAAAGCTACGGTTAGTTTTTTACTTCTGCCGATTGTATTTCAGGCTTCAAAATTTGTGTTTATTCGTGAAGATTGTCATAACAAACAAAACGTGTCAGACTCATAAACTTTTGGTGGTCACAGAGCCTGTTTTCTGCAATACAAAAGCCAGTGGTGAGTGGCAGCTTGAGGGGCTTGCAGGAAACGTGAGCATATAATGCTGACCAGCACAAAAGTACATCAATTGTGCTACATTTGAAAAACCGACCTCATAGTCCTGAAATTGATTGAAATTCAATGAAACCTTTAAATGTCTTGTGGACATTTTAAGGCTTGCTGTGATAGTTTTTTTTTTTTATTGCATTTTGGAGATTTACATGAAACCTGAATTGTTACTGAAGATTTCAGTGATTATATTTAAAATCTAGTTTTTTTCAGAAAATTCACCAAATACGTTTACTAATGAGTTGATATTGCTTCAGAGCTGCTTCATGCTGAATTGTTTTAATCAGGGTTTACAGTGGTATGATAAAAGTTTCTTTGAGACATGAAGATTTGAGCATACTGTCATATCTAATCAGTTTAGTATGAATATGTTATTTTCAGTTGGGATCTGCTCTGGTTGACAGAGGATTCACAAACGTGACTCTACGGTGGTCTCAGACCCCTAAACGGGTGATCCAGAAGGTGACTGCTGGTAAAACTGAGTCTGTTCTCACAACTGTACATTAACACATGAAATAAGCTGCACAATTAGAAATGATTCTAAATTTGTTTTGAGATGTAATAGGCAAATATTTTATTTACAGGTCGTTGTGGCAATGGAAGATAACACACTGGACATCAACACTTTGTCTTTATTTCACAAACTTTACATTTGTTAAAGACATTAATTCTGATTCTAAATGCATTGGCTGAAATTTCTTTATAATTATGCTTACAATGAAAAGATTTAATTCACTTCTGCTTACTTCCTTTTAGTGCTTATTCACATATTTAAGAATTATAAAGCATCTTGTGTAAATGTGTATTGTAAACAAATAGAGATAGTAATAAATATAATGAAAATAATCAAAGAAATGTTAAATGTACATTCACACAACCCACGAGTGTAATTTTAATGTCAGTTTTATGTTTTTTTAATTTATTTATTTACTATTCTTCCTGACATTTCATGTTGTTGGAACTGTATTGAGGTGAACAGAATCTCACGTGAATGGAAAGAGTACAGCGCAAGCGTTCTCACTGTTGTCCAATGACTTGCCTAATAAACCTAACTTGCCTAATTAACCTAATTATTCCTCTATGCCTTTAAATTGCACTTTATGCTGAGGATTATTATCTTGCAAAACAACTAGTAAAATAATATGTACTGTACTGTCAACATGGCAAAGACAAAATAAATTAGTTTAGACTGGAGAAAATAATTATTAATGGTCACAAAGGAGGAGAAGGATATACACGTTTATCGAAGCGTTTTCAAGTGTCAAGAACTGCCGTGAGAAGTATTATCAAGAGACCCATACAGTGGAGAACATGACTGGCAGAGGAAGGAAGTGAAAGATTTCAAAACATTGGAAAGAAAACTAGTGAGAGAGGATCCCTCTCTCACTAAAAAAATCCCTCGACTAAAGATTTTTCTAGTCGACTAATAGTCGTTCATTTTAAGCATTAGTCACACGTTTACTAATGAACCATTTAAATCATGCTAATAAGCCTTTAATTGCCTACATAGCCTAATAAGTGTTCAAGCGCATGCATAAAGCTTGCCACAGCACACCGGCAGAAGTAATGATGAGGAATGTGTCAGGGAAAAACAGTAAGATTAAACTGCATTAACATTTTAATAATCTATTGATAAACTAGTGTTTTCTGTGATTTCGGCTTAAGAGAAGAATTGATGAGGAATGTGTCAGGGAAAAACAGTAAGATTAAACTGCATTAACATTTTAATAATCTATTGATAAACTAGTGTTTTCTGTGATTTCGGCTTAAGAGAAGAATTCGGCGACACTGAATCATCATCTCCACAGTAGTGGATGCGCCTGCATGCAAGTTTCATATGGATTACATAATCTGAGAATATTTTTTTTTTTTTTTTTTCAGATT